GCTCAAACCCTGGCCGACCGTTTCCGCCACCCAAATATTCCAATTCCCCAAAATGTACTTCTCAACGCCTCGAGAACCCCTACCCTACCCCTCAATCAGCAAACTAACTGGACGACAACCATTACGAAACTTAGACTGCTACTGACAATGACTAATCAATCAAAAGCCCCCGGACCCGATGGTATACTTCCTACCCAACTTCGTAACCTTCCAAAGAATGCTATAGACCGCATTACCCTGATCCTCAACCCCTGTTTCAAACTCTCTTACTTCCCCTCCCTCTGGAAAAGAGCCCGTGTGTCCCTGATTCCTAAACCCGGCAAGGATCATCGGCACCCCACTAACTACAGACCGATAAGTCTCCTTCCAAACCTAAGCAAAATATTTGAAAAAGTAATCCTTGTACGCCTAACCCCTATCATGTCACAATTCATGACCAGTCCCAATTCGGCTTCCGCGAGAGTCGCTCAGCGGACCTTCAAACACTTGACCTAACCCCATCTATAGCCACCCCCTCCAAGATCGCAAAGAAATTCCCACTATCCTTGCAGATCTTACACAGGCTTATAACACCATATCCCACCCAATCCTTGCAAAAATCCTTCCCCACATCTCTGACCACATTCACTCTCTACTCCAAAGCTATCTCACCCACTGATCCTTTTACGTCCAATACTACTCCAAACAATCCCCCAAATATCCCATCCAAGCTGGCGTCCCACAGGGCGCCGTGCTTTTCCCACTCCTTTTTTCCTGTATATAAATGACATCCCTTCCACTCTCGGGGTAGAGAGATTCCTCTACTCTGATGATCTTGCTTTCCTTGCTTCCTTCCGCAACCTCACCCTCTCCTTACGAAACCTTCAAAAATCCTTCGACTTCTTCCACCTCTGGGCCTCCCAAAATTCCATCAACATCAACTCTTCCGAATCCCAAGCCATCTTCTTTTCCTATAAAACCTATCCATCAAACACATCCCCTCGGACCACAAATCAAACGCCTATCCCCTGGCTACCCCATGTCAAATATATTGGCATTACCCTTTCCCGCAGACTCCTTTGGTCCCAACATGTCCTCAACACCACAATAAAAACCAACCGGATCACAAACGCCCTTTACCCTATCCTGACTAATCTGTCCATCCCCATTCAAAAGAAAATCCAAACCTACAATACCTATATTCGCCCAATCCTTTCTTACGGCCATCCCACATGGTTCAATACATCCATTATAAACTACAGGAAACTAACCGTCACTGAAAACCGAGTAATCCGACTGATCTTCCGTCCCCCTCCGTTAACCCGCTTTAATGGTCTACAACAACAATACAAAATGTCTCATATACTTACCCACCTTTACAATTCCTCCGTACAAACCCTACAAAAGTTCATCACCAATCCTCAGTTTAGAAACCTTATCCTACTCCTCCTAAGAAATTCCCCCGGCACACTCAAAAAAACACCCCTTCGACATCCTGCAACCCCCTTCTCCCATAACTTAGGCCAAAGGGTGAAAAGATGAAACGACAAAATGATTTAAGCAACCGACTCACTACTTACTCTCTTTGAACCCAAGACGAACATTAAATATTCCTTATCCCAACCCATTCCCCTCCTAAATCCATTCCTCTCCCTTTCTCCCGCCCTCAAGCCTCCTAACAAAAACCAACCGTCACTTCACTACCCAGACTCCCAATCCCCGTCCCTGTACGGCGGAGAGGGGTCGCAACACACCAAAAGACAACCCGACATAAGAAATAAGGACGAAGAGTCTCATTAGAGACAGGCGGATCACAAAACTACACCCTATTCTGTTCTGTTCAATGCTGTCCTTTTCGGTACTTATGTTTAAATCTTCATCGCCAGTTTTCAGAATGTAAACTCAAATTGTCCGGTGGCGCTGGGATTGGACGGTCGTCGCTGTGAGGAACAAGCCTGATAGCTGAAGGGAGGTTGCCATATTGAATGCTCTTCTTGGTCTTGCTTGTCATACCAGCAGCATTCGTAACGCTTAAATAACAGTTCGTCGAGTGGTCCTTTGGTTCCTTCCATACTATGGGAATTGCAAAAGGCATATGTCGCGAATTTCCGCTATGCCAACCACTAAGTAACATTACACAAGTCGGACAGCAAAGGAGCGGCCCACGATTTTTCATGATTACCGATTCGACACCCGAAATAAAATTCCCATCAGTGGCGTCTCCTATTCAGAGAGTAGGGAATGCCATCAGAATTTTAAACAAGGTAGACCAATTAATCGACATCGTACTATATGTTTATGTATCCTACATTAAGATGTACATGCCTACTGAAACGTGTTTGAGAATAGCTGATTTTGTGTTCCTTGTTCTGTCAGTAATAAATAAGATAATACAAAAAACTACATTGGAACATCAACAATCCACCTAATTGTTTAATTAGAGGTCAATCATATTCCAGCGTACTTGAGAATTCAATAGAGTTTTTGAAACCTTCCAAAGGACATTGGGAGTTTTCACTCACCCTCCTACCTCGTGTAACTCATCCTATTCTACAAACCATATGCTTGCCATGTCGCATCCTTTCACATGGTAATTGTTGGCTTCTAATTATCACGTTAGTTTCAGAACTATGATATTTCTTTGTGGAAGACTTGTTATTCACACAGTTTCAAGAAAACCTCAGCATTTTCACAACAACCCATAGTATTATCCACGCACGTTTTCTTGAGCCCTCACTTCACTAGTTGCGAAAAGAGTGGGGAGTTATGTTATTTTGACAAAAGGAATTTTATGACAAATTTGTAGTTCGTTTTTCGATGCTTAATAGTTTTATTGCACGGAAGTGAACATTTTTGGTTATCAGATTTTGTCTACAGCGCTTGTTGCTATTCTTTATTCCTAATTCAACTAATGTTGGCAAAGGAATGTAGGTAGGTATTCCGGGGCTCAAGAAAACGTGCGCATATAATACACGTGAAAATCTCGGCAACAAAGAACCATCAGCCGCTTGCTGTTGGTTGTCACAACTGACAATCCACCTCTCCTAAATTACGTACTGGATGAGGACAATTGGCAAACATGGGTACGTATGAGTGGGTAATGTGGTTAGGATGTCTCCCCCAACCCGCTAAGGAAGCACCAGTCGTTAGCACGTGATCACTGTGGTTCCCAGTCCTACTGAAAGAATAGAGGTGCTCAAATAAGGCAATGGCGAAGCTTTGGGATGGGGGGATACAGATCGCTAATGACAAGTCCGAGATGTGACAGCCAGCGTCGCATCACTGTCGGCCGAAAGCTCGCATCTTCCACACAGCACATGGTGAGAGGTCAGTGACCTCGGTAACGATGCGATGCCGTCGAAGGGATGTTTCTCGGCCTGTCACATCCACGGTCACAGACGCCTACCAGAATGTGCAGGGGGAAAAAAACAAAAGGTACAAACGGAACAGAGAGATATACTTGCGGAGTAGAAAAACATTTTAACAAGAGTTTTAAAAGTACCGAAAAACTTAGGGATGCGACACGTCACTCGCATCCATTGAGCCTAAGCCATTGATTCATATACCGTTCATATCAATGGAGTAATATTCCACCTTTGGCGCAACAAAGTTAAACCATCACACCAAAAATAGAAATTGATTAGATGATTTACACATTGTCACGCCAGGGATTCAGCATCTGCATAGTGCACTACATACCGTTATCAACATCTTTCCCCTTCGACACGTAAGGTGCAACTAACATTTAGTGACTCCATACCCAATGCGTTGAGTCTGTATAGCATCATTAGCAACCACTATTGGATTGCACGTTATGGTAACTATGAAGATATGATATGGCGAGGATATGGGTGAAAGAACGACCATAAAGTCAATGCCCGCGGCGGGACTCGAAACCATGATCCTTCAGTTCGAGATCCCTACGAGACTACTGCCTTATCGATCTCGGTCATCCGCTATCTCTAGTGGAATGACTAGTGACTTGTAATATACCTGCAAGAAACTTCGTTTTAGAATATATACGACTTATGTATGTGCGATAACCCAAAAACTGAGCCCGTTGGGCAACTTCTGTGGTTGTATTCGACTTAAGGGTAGCAAAATACATAAAAATAAGCAGCTACAGTAAGTCATTTAAAAAATAACTGACGACCAGTGTAATTAGTACAAATTTTGGCGCAAGAATTATTGGCGTTTAGAGAAATTAGGATGGTTTTCAAATCTTTTTCTTGTAGTCGGGTGCACATACGGTCCACATGCCAATCTCTACCTCGTGACTACTGACGTATTCTTCACATGATAGAAACCAGCCAATAAGCCGATGTTTCACCCACGTGCTTTTGTTTACACGCGTAACAGAATGTCGGGCATATTCACTGGAATTTAAAAAGCTTTGAACATTCCACGATTTCTTGATATTTGTAAATATAAGATGGAGTAAATTATTAGTTTTATATCTCATGAGTTGTAATTGAAACGTTTTGGATAATTTCTTCCAAAGCAAACCAATTTTCTGGACGTTTCAATATCTAGAAAAAAATCAATCAAGCATAACCCTTACTTAAAATTACTAATTCTCATTAAATGTCGGTTGTATAATTTAGTATTTAAACTAGTCTATTTGAAAACTCATAATATTGCTCACCTTCAATATACTTGCCATTAATTTATACCTCATTATTCATTATTTTAATATGCTGTATGTAACGCTATTGCATATGAATACTTATAATATAACACATTATGTTCTTGCCATTCCGTAAAATTCAGCATGCATTGAAATGCATACATTGATAGCATGAGTAAAGGTGCGTTTGTTAGGGGACTGAATTTATCTTTTCTTTTGTACGGTACCGGCAGTGCTTCTGCACCGTTAAGTAGGGAAGCGCACTCGTAATAAATTTGAAACCTCGGGAAAATTATTCCTACATTTGCATAAAGTCTAGTCCAATTACCTCATTCACATAATCAATGGCCCGGGAGGGAGGAGGCTAGCAATGACACCCACTTCAGTTAGCACTCGAGTTATAACACGGACGTCCTTAATTGTCATGATTATAAAGGAACGAATAAAAAGTAAGAGAGGGCGTAGATAGTCTGAGAATTGGGAGGGAAGAATAAAGTATAAAAGAATACAACAAAAAAAACTGAAAACTAAGTGTTTTATTTTGTAATTAGAGGTCACATTTTCTTATCTCCAATGACCTCTGTAATGTGCAATAAACACCTCACAAACGAGTTTTATTCGCTGTCGAGGACAGTTCTACGTTGAGGTCACGATCATCAATTTGTCGGAAGCACAGGACACGATCGAAGAATCTTTTGCTTAGACTCTCCCTCACCCCCACTCAGGCCACCGCATCGCACATCGCACTACTACCATAAAGGTATACCGGATACGAAGTGCAGATGGCACGTCTGTGGCTTTGTGCATTGAATGAAGAATGAGGAGACGCGCGTTGTCCACAGAACGTTGTCGGGTGTGTTTTCACGTCTTGTCATCCGTCCTGCGAGTTTGAAATCTTGTTATTTGAATCTTAAAAAGCGGGCGTTTTCCATCTGACCATTCATGTTACATATTTGTCATAATTGTAAAATCGATTTTTGCAATTGTTATTCGTCCGTAATCTAGTTTAATTACTGTCTATAGCTGCAAATCAATGCTCAAGTTTTCCATTAGCACAATGAAAAGTGCAAAAGTAGTTATTTTTACCGGTGTTATAACAATGCTAGCGAAATTTGGAGGTTAGTATATGAATAATATCATTTAAATTATTCAAGTTTTGTGAATTGTTTGTAGTTCTTTAAAACGGGCTAGTTTTCTTTCATAGTTTTTTGTTGTTCTTTTTAATTTGTATGTAATGGATAAATATTGTTTAGAATACATTAACCTAATTTTCATTGAGAAATTGAATGTATGAAAATTTTCAGATGCTGCACAATGTAACAACTTCACAGAAAATACTGGAAATCTTGGTGAATTTAATGATACATATGGGGCTTCCCTGCGTAAGAAAGGTGTGTTGTCATGTCCAGGACGGGGAGATCCCAGTGACTACACTGAGTGTTGTTGGGATTCCAGGTTTCAGTGTTGTCCATCACCACATCGACCTATAATGCAGATTGATGATAGGTAAGGTTTGCTTAAAGAGGATTATGAATAAAAATTTCAGTCACGTCAAAACATTGGAAAAATTAAACTTTTTTTTGTATATTTAATATTTTGAATTATTAAAGGAAATATTTGAAATATTTTTACCATCTAATGTGGGTTGATTTAGGTTTTTTGTTAAGGAATGTAGTAGTGATGTGAATAGTACTGTCATGAGTTGACCTGCATGGAATTATTTTAGAAATGATAATTTTCTAATTGTAGGTTTGTATTGTCAAGAGTTGTAATATTAATGTGATTTTCAATCATTTTATTTAACTTTATAGTTGATTACTATTCTGAATGATTTCATCAATTCAATCAATCATGAATATTAGTTGTCATTCTGGGAGACTACTGTGAACATTTTCATTACTGAAAAAGCCTCTTTTCATGCTCAGAGAGTAAATAAGAACTATTTAAACTGATTGTATACTAATAAGTTATAATTTAATAATAAATTAACTTAATTTAACTAAATTATAAATTAATTTAATAAGAAATTATAACTAATTACACAAAATATATTATAATTTGTAAAAAAAATAATTTCTGTAAGATATAACCAAGTTGATGTATATTATTGAATGCAAAAATTCTATTCAACTTTTAGATTTACTTGTTTTGTTGGGCCTGTATTTACTATTGAATTATTTCTCACTGAGTAAATTAATACTTTTCAATAATGTTTATTAAATATTAGTCTGTGCAAAGGGCTGCCGTCGCATGTGACACCATTCTAAGAATACCAGCCCATGAACATTTTAGTTTGAAGTTTTATAATTCACATGTTTTATTTAATAATCATGTTTTAATTTAATTGACTTTTCCACTCTTGAAATTAACACCAAGGGCATTTGATACCATACCTGGTAGTGTTGGGTGTGCAGTTAAGTTACTGTAGATAATTTTCTTACTGTGGATGGGTTTTTAGGTAACTAATCTACCATGAGGCAAGTCTTTGGGCATGGACTTACAGGCAATGGAAGTAATGAATAATAATAATAATCATAGGCAATGGAAATAATGAATTCATTCATTTGCAAGCCCTTTGTTCAGCAGGATGTGATTGTTACTTCAGTCAATAATTCTACCTTTCCGGGGAACTGGAGATGTAATCTGATATACTAAATGTCTTGCTACAATTCTATATTGAATCTCATATTTAATATAACTCTTAACTCAAATTGGTAGCTGGTGAACCAATTTGTTTAAAATGTTGATTCATTTTTATTGTTAAGTGAAATTATCAATAATTTTTAACCTGCTTATTCATTTGTATATTAAACTTGTATCTGATATTTCTAAATGTTCAATCCTTTAAAAATGCACCAATCATTTCCTCTTAATTCATAAAAATGTCCTTAACCATGACTTAAAATGATAACCTACAGAGAAAGTGTAATTTTTAGCCTCTTCATTCTCATAAAATGTTCACATTTGTGTCAGTGAATGTTTTCCTCTTATTGTGTAGAAAACCAAATAATTTTAGTTTGACGTTTTTCTCAATAATATTTTAAATTGCAATAAGTTCTTTAGGGGTTAACTTGCTTCTTGTTTGACTACATGTTATTGTACATTTCATTACAAAGTGGATTATATTTGATAAGGTAATTAACTGTTATGCCTTTGCCCTAATCCTGCAGGCTTGTTATGACTGTGGGCCTTACTGTTATATGCTCATGTTTGATGTTGACTGTGGCCATTGTGGTTTGCTGTTTCTGGGGAAGATGTCCTCTTTATAGCACATGCCGTGTTAACTATACTCAGGGGGATATCATTGCTTATGGTAGGTGCAATACTTTCTAAAAGCGTAGTTATTAGTTCTATATTTTCTGTTGGGGCCAGGGAATTTGAGAACTGTTTCTGGTCTTCTGACATATATGGCTTTGTGGGTGTATAGGATTGTTTTTTGTAGTTCCCATTAAAGTGCTGTAATTTGCAAATTGATATTTTTCTATTAGTAATTCTTAATTTTCTTGTGTGATTTGTATGTAAGCTCCTGTGTCTTCCATGAGTTGAATGGAACATGAACCTATTTAAAACACAAAAACTATTTATGTTTAATTACCTTTTTGTATAAATGTGCACACATGCGCGCACACACACACATACATACATTATACATTTATATTATATATGATATTATATATATTATATATTATATATATAATTATATAATCTATAAATGCTATAAAACGTTGTTTTATAGTCCTTGTTATGAAATTTTGTTTGATCGAGGTTGTTTTGACGATTTGTTTAGCTAAAGAAGATGATCCCTTGACTGGAACAATGCCTCCAGAGGACAAAGGTGGCCATCAGTATGCTCCAAATGCTGTAAAAATAAAACCAGTTGAAGATGTGTAAATGCTATGTTATGCGAAGAATAGTTTGCTGAATGTAGTGCAATTAGGTTTGCTCTTAAATGCACAGAAGAGCGAGGGGTTGGGCCTGATGAATTTTGTATTGTAAGATATAGTTATGGGTACTTGTGCATATATCATTCATAAAAATGGTAGTGCACTGTGATTAGGAGACATGTGTAACTATGAGTTTATCAGTATTGTGGCTATGACCATGTATTAACCAAAGATAAAGTGTATAACATGGAGGTGACATTTATCACATGATAGTGCATGCTTTTCTATGAAGAATTATTTTAACTTTGATATTACTGTGTTGAATGTCACTCACTCCGAATTTGAGGAGGTATTATCTGGTACATTTTATACTTTTATTTTGAAGACAGTTAAGTTACTTTGACAATGAGAAACTCAGATAATTTGGGTATTATGAAGAGGCCTTAACTAGGTTGCTCCTTGCTGAACATGTGCAAGCCTTTGAGTATGATTTAGTTTTTGTTGTTTTCTTTTAAAATAAATCTTATACATTTAACGTAATTAAATTTAATTATTCAGAATATTATTGATGTAAAATTTAAGGCTTTAAATATTAAGTATACAAAGGTTTTTTTTTTATAGTTTACGGACTATTGTGTTCCTTTCTTCAATTAATTTATTGAAAGAAATGTAGGAGCCCTTGAAAGAAAATGGTTTAATTTGAAAAACTGATAATGTGAAAAAGGTTGCACATCTTCAGCCGTGATATCTCCCAAGTATGGTTAGTCTGCTCATTGTTTTTTTACTAGTCTCAGTGTATTAATTTTTGCTGTGCTTAAGTGTTAAAAATATTATACTTTTTATTCTAAAAGCTTAGATATACGAAGAGTATAACTTGATGTGCAATCTTGGTTGAAGCTATTACGTTAAAGTATAAAATCAGTATAACAAGAAGAGATTGTTATATGGGGAATTATTTTATATTGTGTTCTTGTGTGATGTGAGATGTTGCCCATGTTGTAAATTTCATACCACGTATGTTGTATGTGTGGATATTTATATTTCAGCAGAGTAAATGTACATCTCTAATGATGGTTACAAGTTAATATCAAGAAGACTTAGCTCTTTAGATAATTTTTAATTCATTGGTTACGCTAGTGAGTGAGAATATCAGTATTCAATATTTTATAGTCAAAACATTATGAAGGCCATCCTTTTAAATAATATTACTCATTCCTAAATGGAAATATTTCAAGGAGATGAGCTAAAATGCCATATTTATTAGATACAGTGCAATATCTCCTTCTTTTCTTCATTTTCCTTTTACATGCCTGTAACACAATTTATGTTTATTAATGCAATTTATTTAATTAATCATATCACACGAAATTAACTGACTTCCATTCAGGGTAATGTTTATATTTGGCAGGTTCGGCTTTCAGAATATGTATATTAGTGTATAATTTAAGCATAAGTTTAATTTATTTCCTTTGTGTTTTCATTCAGATTTCATGTTAGTGAAAATTATGGTAATTCAGAAAAAACTTTTCTTTGCATATTATTGATAATAAGTACTCTTCCAGAAATGGAAACGAAGACTAACCATTTTTATGAGACTCCCCAGGAGGCATGATTATCAACTCTATTAATTATGTGAAAAACTGATTTCTTTTGTAAAGGACTTTCCTTTGTGTATTTATTCTGTTTTTCTTCAACCATTTTGAGTTTCTTGGACACAAATTCCATTCACCACTTAAGATAATGAATGCCATGGACTTCACTAGAACTTACATTTGGTAACTAAATATTTCTTTGAGTTTAGAATGTTATAATTGGGTTTACAAATTGTATTTTACCATAGATGACTAATTGTCTACAGACTATGTTTTCTGACTCTGACAAGTCTTCTAAATCTTCTAGATCTTTATTGTTGTCTGGTAGCTTTGTTACTTATTAAATACACTTTTAGATATGCCGTTGATAAGACTTGCAAATATTTTCAACATCCTTTGCCAAATGAATCCCACCTCGATGGCATAGTTAGGGTTCAATTTGTCTTCTTTTTTCCAATGATTTGCTTTCCAGTTATAGTTCTTTTATGTTAGGTCGGTCTTTTATGTTAGGACAATGCTTTATAAACAAAGTATATAAAATCCATTACATGTTCTACAAAAAATATAGAATTGTTTTACATGGTCAATTAAGATTCAGTTTATGATTTAAAAATCCAATTAATATTTATTTTCTAATTTATGTTGTATTTTGTTTGAATGACAAGTACATTGGAGAATGCATTAAGTCACTTACATTTCATAATTTTACCTTTCTGTGTGTCTTAATAGACCTTGCCTCTGTAAGAACAATAATTTTTGTTACCCAAGTAGATACGTGATGAGATGGGTCTAGTGAATGGGTTAATTTAATAGCTTCTTTAACTTAATGTGGTGAATGGTTTACATTCGTCATTCATGTAATTGGTAAACACAGTACCCTAACATATTTAGCAGGATTTGTAACTAGTTCTGTTTTAAGATATTTTTCTATTGTTTGGTATGAAGTATTTTTCTATAGAATGGTTTGAACTTTTGAATTTGAGAAGATAGATTGCTTTTTTTCAAAGATCTATCATTTAACATTGCATGAAATAAGCTACAAAATGCAAAGAAAAAATCAATCTCTATCAAAATTGTGTTGACTCAATTGTAGAGGAGGTAATGTTTAACAGTCACTGACTTTTGTGATCTTTTCACTTTTAATTTCAAAACAAAATATCTTACCATTGATGTTTAAGACTTCACATCCTACATTGTAGAAAATTTAAGTATGTGTTAATCAAAAAGAAGCTAATAAGCCTTACTGATGATTTTATTGTGTAATGGTTAGATCTGCAATTGAATTTATTTGCCTCTTTTTATAACTTCTTAAATCTCTGAGTCTTGTCTAGATTGCACTTTGAATTGGAGTGGACGAGAAAAGATTTTTGGGATGAAAAATTGCTAATTTGAGCATAAGGCCTAACAAATTTGTGGGATTTTGATGTTGAACTTTTACTATCCGTCATATTTTCATATTCGTATTTTTTTTTCTTTAAGTATTTGTGTTACTTTTCAGTTGGGAGGTATAATATCTTTCAAACATGACCGATATATCTATAAACATTTTCATAAATCAATTTTATAATTCTAAGTCAAAAATTCAGAAACAAAGATGTTAGTCTACAACTTGTCAGTATTGTTCTTAGAGTAAGGTGAATCTTAACATCTTTCCTTGAATCTCAAGACATTCTTTAATAGAAAATTCAATATAAATCTTATTTTATGTGATAATTTATATAATAAAATCTTTCTGGGAATACAAAACTATACGTAAAATTCACTGTTAAGTTTATTATCTTATTACTTAACATATTATCTTAATGCTTACTCATTTAATACTCTTTCATTAATTTTTCTACATACTTAATCTATACTTGCTAGAATAATACAATTTTCACTAAAATATTATACATCAATATTTCATAAGTACCTCATTAATATCAAGTGGTAGTGGCTTGGCGACTGACTTCAAAAGGTACACAAAATCTTTAGATCACTTAGATAAATTGTATATTTTTATAATAATTGTAACACAACGCTCATTCTTGTTTTTTCATTGCATTTTGCAAAGAAATTGATATAACTAAAGGAAAATATAATTAGTGTCAGTTGCCGAACCCTTCCATTGATACACTAGTCTTTACATTTCAGGAAAGCCAGTATGACAGGATGTCACTTTTCTTTTTCTACCGTAAGTTTGTAGGGCTAAATATGATATTCAAAGCTGTTCTACTGACCATGAAGAAGGTTAATTTATTTTATTGACCTCGAGTAATAGATTTTCCAAAGAATCAATTTGGAAAAAGAAAATATGGCATTTATTTGATAGTGTGCAGTGTGCATGTTTGTATGCTTATGTGCACAAAGGTGTATGGAAGTATTTGTATTCTTGTATATTAAACAATGGGTACGTGTGCTCGTTCACAAGAACGGTCATTCATTTGTGCAATTCTACATGCACTTATTTTTCAGCACATACAGTATATGACTAAATGTCTGTTTCGTAATGCAAAAATTGTTGGGAAGTGTCATTCTCCATTGTAGTTCTAGATAAACAATATCCAAAGATGCCTAGTGTGATAATTTGTCTTGATTAATGAAGCAGTTCACAATTGAATAGTGCTACACTTTGAGAAGTAGCAGGAACAGTGGCGCTTAATTCTGTTAGTTTGATACAGCAGTTCTACTGCATAAATCAATACAAAACAGTACAGTTAGAAAATAAGGGCTACTGAAATTATTGAAGGAGCATAATATCTAACTTTCTGTGTTAAATATGTTCGTAGTTGCATGCTCCATGCAATAAAATTTCAGAATTGTATAGTGAATTTTGATATTAACTATCTCACATTCATGTAGTTTAGAATGGAAACTTGACACTAAACAATATCTTAATTTATCCTTGATAACAATATTTTTGTGGACCAGTTTAAAACTGCCCTTTTCTGAGGACCCAACCTTGAGACTCCTCTTTACTTGCAGCTTGTTGCTACGTGACATGATGTTCTTGTCTCGTAGTGTGGTGTCTTTGCTTGCTACTTGTATCCAGTTTCCTGCCTTTACACATAAATATGTTTACTCCTGCCCACTTGCTGGCAGTCTTATCTCCCCTCTTTCTTCCTGAGTCCATTTGTCTATCCATTTCTGAGCTGTAATTTGTAAACAAACATTATATCAAATAATTTTAAGAAATTTTGATAAAAATGTATACTATTAAACTCTATATTCTAAGAAATTTTCAGGGAATCTTTGTTACTAAGTTCTATATTTTTTGTGTCGTTACGAAAAGTTTATACTCAAATTAAAATATGATTTAGATTATTAGAAATCATTTGGATTATCATCGTTGTGTATTGTTTGTTAAGAAAAATGAAGTGTATTTGCTGCTTGCTACCTTTATAAACAAGAGTACAGAGAAATTGCAGTGCATTCACACAAAAGTGAAAAACATCTGTTTAGTTATTAAGTGTTTATTACAGTAACAAAGCTCAATGTCGGAAGAAAATTATCCTTCCAAGTGCCAGAAATGTGCAGGGGATATCAATATACATTGTGTTCATATATTAACATTGCATTATGTCAAGCACATTGCATAATTAGCTTTTTCATGTAACACGCTTGAGTAAGATATTAGAGTTAAGTAGCAATTCATGTATATGTACAATTTTTATAATTAAAATTTATGTTGAAATGTATGAGGAGAAAAAAGTTTGCCACTTATTGTGATCTTTGTTCAGCTGAATTGTAAGACTGTGGCTATTGTTTTTATATTTTTGTACTGGGTTAATGTACACTTGCCCTAATGAAAAATGAGAAAATATATTTGAAGTACTCCTAACCATCTTTGGATTTCCTTTTACATACTTTTAGAATGCATCTGTATTATAGAGTGAAAAATTATGTTTTTAACTTTTGCCAACTCTTGTTTTGGATTACTTTTTTAGAGAGAGAGAGATATTATACAGTAGCTTGAATTATTTTATAAGAATTAATACTGCTTCAACAAAAATATTTTTTTAAAAAAATATTCTGATTAAATGATCCTCACATTAGGGCGTGTCGCTAAGAGTGCCAGATCTGAAGAGTGAGAAGGGGGTGGAGGCTGTTCCCCCAACCCAATTTTATTTTTTTATAAATGTTATTTAGCTAAACACATTCAAAATAACTATAACATGCGTATCCATTCATACTCCACAGAAGTAATTTTACTATTATAAAACAGGTTTTTTCAATTTTAGGTTAGCAAAATTTAAAGAATTTCAATAATATTTATAGGGTTATGAACTGAAATGCTGCTTTGGATGAAAATGTAGATTCCATAAATGTGAATGAACTTGTGGAGGCATTCAAGAAATGTAAAAATAGAAAATCACCTGGACTAGATGGAAAAAATCATGTATCCAAACAATAATTTCTCTATGGGTTTCTATTCTCTTGAATTATATGAATATGTAGTGGAAGTATGGACTTATACAAGAAGTTTGTAATCAATCGGTTGTTATTATCCTTTTTAAAACAAGTAGTACCTTCTTCCATTATTTCTAAATTTATAATTTTCGAAAATTCAGAGAGTTCTTCGAAAGTGAGATCCACACCATTCTTTTGAGCATTCCTCCTCGTATCCGTGAAAAAAATTTGGAGCGTTTTTTGAGAAAAAAGTTATTTTTTTTTAAATTGCTTTTATTTCGCGTCAAATTACACGAAATTCACTCATTTTTGAAAAAATGGAGCTGAACCTAATTAAAGATCAGTCTTCAAGAAACAAATTTTGTTAAGAAAAAAGTGTCTATGTTCAATATTATAGTTGTAGGAAGACGCCCCCCAAAAATTGCACTTTGCAATTTTCAAAAATTCTGGGATTTTAACGAACATAGGATAGAAAAACATTTTTTATGTTGAAAATCGCAATTTTGATGTACAAAGCAAGTTTTTTTTTCTCATTTAAAATCAAATTCAGTTAAATTTGAAATCAATTTATCCGAAGTATTTCGTACAAATGAAAAAAGGTGTTTTTATCTTCTTAGATAAATTTTAACCACATTTTGTCTAAGAATATCTATTTTTATTATACTTGCAAATTTCTCTAGATGATAAAGATGTTTCAAGAATTTTTCAGACGTTTATATCCGATTTTGACTCGTACAATCCAAAAAAAGAAGAAAATTGAAAAAAATACTTTCTTTCTTCGTTTTTTAACCCTTTCTCTGCTAACTACGCCTGTGGGCGTCCGGAGTTTTCGTTCCACGTGTGTTAACGGCGCCTTTTGACGTCCGCCCGGAGTCGCTTCTGCTGTGCTAATGCCGCCTGTGGGCGTCTTTACCTTGGGTGTCTGTCTCTTGCTTTCTTCTGAATGGCTGAGGGCCTGAAGCACATGTGGCGATATTTGTTCGTTTTGTAAGTGTTTTGAAGTTTAATTCGAACTCTTCTATACAGTGTTGAAGTGTTCTTGCTGCAAGGTGAAATGTTTGTAAATTGATAGGCTGGTGTGCGGCGTTCCTCGCGCATATATGTGTGTGTATATATATATTATATATATATATATAATATATTATATATATATATATATATATATATATATTCAGAAACGCTCAAACGCCATTTTCTCATTCGGATAGAGCTAACTGCATTCTTTAATATGACGTAAAGTTAATTTCGGTATATTTTTTATTGTTTTCTTTTTTTCAAAAAATTACACAAATGTAAATTTTTTGAAACATCTTTCACTTGATGTGCACATTTCCAGCCATTTGAAAAAAGCAGTTGTATTTGTGAGTTAAAGTGCTTCAAATGAAGGTTTTCGAAAACTCAATAATGTTCTGTGAAAAAGAGCTTTACATTTCGAATTTACAGAAGCGCTTAAGCGCATTTTCTTAAAAAAAAAGATGCAAATTTTTCAAAGAAATTGCAATGAAATTTGCATTAAGGACGAGGTTTTACTGTTCTTTGATTGTCATAAAATAATATTCCGTTCTATTATCAAGAAACCGGAAAATTAAGAAATTAAAAAATATTTACTTTGAGTGACATTACTGTCCAGGACTGAAGAAGGCCGACAGGATATCACAAAATATGTCTCAAGCCTCATGTACTTTTTCTTTTTATTAGATTTCTTTCTCTTTTCTTCTTATTCTTTTTCGATAATTTGCATGTAAGCGATCTATGCCATATTATTTTGTTTCGGTCACCCAGCAATTGCGCGAAATGTCACAGTGATCCACGATTGCTCGCTTGGCACCTATAATATTGTAACGTTTCTTAGTGGTGAATTAAAACACACATGTAATTATTTGAACAAAGATGTTTATTTTGTTTTTTAATGATACACAAAAAAATAATAGATTTATTTACCGATAAGATTCACAGTACCGGAATACCGTTCGAAAATATAATTATAGTTAAAGTTATAAACATTAATAATCATTTGTTTTTTTCCCATGCAGCATTATACCGCTCTTGCGCTTTTCAGTTGGTAGATCATACATTCTCAATTACGTTTGCCAAGAAATCATTCATACTCGCCCATTCATTATCCAAAAAAGAATATTGCAAACAATTACCAGCACTCGTAAGCTGGAGTCTCGCAAACCCTTTTTCAATAAACTAAGGATACTTCCTCTACCATTCTACCCCTACATATATTTGAAATAGTGGTCTTCACAAAGAAGATTCCCATGGAAAACAAAGCCACTTTTACTTTAAATTCCGATGTACACAACTACAACGCTCGTCAAAAGGATAACCTACATGTTCCCCACTCTCAGACTTCACTTTAACAAAAACATACCCTAATAGAGGGCATTATACTTTACAAACTAGGCAATGATATTAAAGACATAAACACAATTCATACAATTAAAAGTAAATTGAAAGCTTTGCTGCTTAACATGTTCTACAGTGTGACGGAATATTCAAATCACAACAATATTTCCCTTAAAAATATAAATAAATAAGAATTTCTTATCCCATTTGACTTTCTGTTTCATGTTAACTGTTTCGAGCTGAAGCAAAGAAAAAATAACTGCTATATCGCATCCTGTGACATTAAAGGAGAATGCCTGACAAAAAATAAAATTGATCCTCTCTGGACTCGCTAGACGCAGGTGCTGCAGTAGGACTAAGTGTACAAATTTAAAAAAAGAAAAAAACACGTTTTAAACATACTAATATTGTTAAATTTTATGTAGTTGCTAACAGATTTGATATCATGTATTGTTTTATTATTATTATTATTATTATTATTATTATTATTATTATGAAAAGAAATTAAATTTAAAACTGTAAGTTAATAATTTTATCACTACCTAAAAACCAAAATGAAGAAAAGTAAACGAAGTTGCATTTAACTTTGACGTGATTAAAACCATAAATCTAAAAAACAAAACACAATTAACTACATGCGAACAAACACAGGGATACAACCGAAACGCGAACTTTCTGAGCACAGTATGATATGGCAACCGAAGCAAGTGGCACTGCAGCTGTGGCTGATCGAACAGGCGAACGTATCCCTTCTATAAAAATTAATACATTCTAAAGATTTTACCACTAATTGCAGTAAATATGTAATGCATTTACGGTAATATTTTACTAATGTAATTGTTGTTATGAAAAATTGTGTTAATAAGGATTTAAAACAGTTTCATCATAAAAAAATGGGGGGGGGCGTATTTACCGGGAAAGCTCCTTAAGGCCCTGTACTTTATTCTTAACCTTGGACGCGCTTTTTTTATAGCTGCATGAAGGCTGACTGAATTGGAAAGAATCTGGCAACCGTAGCCTAATGAACTTAATTTGGCTGCACTGAGATACCCAGAAATTTTCTTACAATGACATCATCCAATTGCATATTGTTCATTTTCATTGCCGCATACATTGCATTGAAATGTAAAAGTGCATTGAATTACAATTTATTAATTCGTTTACTATTAATATGTTACTAAGAAACTAATTTGAAATACCTGAAATCATACTACTTGTTTTTTTTTCTTTTTGCAAAATGCAGACGGAATTTTGTACACTTCCTGATCCGTTTTTAGTAGACATTGATACAGTACCTTCTGATTTCTAATTAAAATTAATCGATCTCAGATGTGATAGCTAGGAGGTCGATTCTGTCGGGCAACCCCCCCCCCCCACGGACACGGTTTCGATGTTTGTTCATAATACCATTTGTTCAGCAAATACCATAATCTGGGATTCGGTCCACTAACGTTTGCGAACAATTATTGCTTTTTTATCTGAATAGATTAAGAACAAACAACGGAAATGGTCCAGGTTGTTACGGCTGGGACGTTGCCCCGCTGGTGGGAGATACCTAGTTGGGGAAAATATCGCTAGCCGACTTGCCGAGATCGCCACCTCCCTCAATAAAACATACACTGCATTTACGGGAACAATGACTTAAGCAGTTGACGCACCCGGAAACATTAATCAAACAATCAGTCAAACTACCGCAATGATTACCTATCAAATTTCTTCGCTTGCCCGCCGGAGCTACGCGTATGATCTTGAACGGTGTTTCATGCCGGGGCAAGGGCAGGGATACGACCGCTCGTGTTGGCAAAACCATGTCCGCCACTGGCTTACGGAGACAACAGGAGCATCCCGCCACATTTTTGCGTGAATCCTTCCACTTAATTTTGTGAGCCACCAAATTCTGAAGTTGCGAGCCGCCACTTTTACTTATTTCTTAAAACCAGTGGCGGCACGTGATCATGCCATTAGCGTGTGCGACGTCTCTCTTCTCGCATCCTTCCTCCCCCTCACACACACACACACACACACACACACACACACACACACACGCATTTCTTTTCTCAACATATGCTTCGACTTCTCTTGGCAAGGA